TCTGTGTGTATCCTTCGGCAAGAGCCTTCTCCTTGTTAGGAATGGCCTAGAAGGTATCTGAGGGCCCTTCTAGTTTGCACCTAGGACCTTGCTCCAGTGACCCTGATTTTCTTATTAAATACACTCTGTGGACTGGGAGCAGAGGACCAAGGCGGCCAGTGCTTCAGTGTTCCTCAACTTTTCTCGGGCCTTCTCCATATGCTGAGGACTTGGTGCTGAGAGCCAGGGATGGAGTGGAACAGAAGGCAGGAGTTGTCTGAAATCTTGAGACAAGGAGAGTGAGGCTGCATCTAGGGGCTTCTCAGATAAAGTCATACCGTTCGCAGTGCGTCAAAGAGGCCATCCTGAGTATAAATCGTCCGAGGCAGGGCTGAAAGCTGGCGTGGCTGGCCCCTTTCTCTGCGTGCCAGTGCCGGCCCCTCCCCGGCAGGGCTCACAGGCCCTCTGTCCTTGAGCATAGGTGCAGGCTGTGTCAGAGGCCACACTCAGCTCCTAGCCTTTGGGTCGCTGCAGCATCTCTAACAGCCACGCCAGGGCTACTGTGGGTTTAGAGGGCTGTAGGAGATGACACTTTAGTCATACCCATCTCGATTTCTCATTACTGAAGTCTAAAGTGTCTTTGTTAAGAAAATAGTTTATCCTCAGAGGGACTTCAGTTAAGAGATTCACAGACAGTGGTATTTTTGGAGAATGATCCTGGACATACCATAGACTTTCAAGAAATGCTTGTTGAATCTACTTGTTTGGAGCAAGCTGGGGCCTGGAGAATACCAGCATGTACCCACACCCACCCCGACCTTGTGTCCCCAGGCAGGACTGCAACACCAGCCTGGTGCGGGCCTGCTGGAACGAGCTCTTCACCCTCGGCCTGGCCCAGTGTGCCCAGGTCATGAGTCTCTCCACTATCCTGGCAGCCATTGTCAACCACCTGCAGAACAGCATCCAGGAAGGTAGGGCTGGGGCTGTGGGGGAGCGTGTCTTGGTTCAGGCTGGCCCCTCCAAACTGGCTGGCCACAGTGTCCCACAGCTTCCACAGGCTGAGGGTAGCTTAGCTTTTAAGTCCTGGGGCCTTTACCAGTGAGAACACTTAAATTTCCACCTGTCTGTCTGCTTTTCATACAAGGAATATGAAAGGGAAAAAAAAGATAATTGGAAAAGTTGCCAACTTCCTGATACATAGGTATTTAGTGATGTTTTCAGAATAATCACAACTTACACTTTCATCTTGATTGACAGGTATAAACGGAAGAAACTAGTTTTTCACTTGTGTGGGTGAAAGAAAACCCAGTTCTTCTTTACTGTGTTTCTCTTCCCTGCATGTCTCCTTTACTGCTCACACAGAACACTTCTGACATGTGTGGTCACCAGTGTGGGGGGTGTTTTCCCCACAACAGGCAATTCTCTGAGACACCAGCTGGGTATACAACAGTTCAACTCCATTCTGACAGTCAGACATAGTGTCAGATCCCACAGGTTAAGGGCTCAGTCCCACAAGACCCTCCCCCCCAACACACTCTCTCTCTCTCTCTCTCTCTCTCTCTCTCCAGACTATCCCCTGTGCTTCTCACCAACCTGCTATATAGACTGGAGGTTGTAGCAACCCTTGGGTTGGATAATTCACTAGCATAGCTCACAGAACTCAAGGATAGAGGATACAGATGAACAGCCAGATGAAGAGATATATGGCGTGAGGTCTAGGAGAGTCTCAAGCACAGGAGCTTCTGTCCCTGTGGACTTGGGGTGCTTCACCCTTCCGGTGTGCATGTGTTCACCAACCTGGAAGCTCTCTCAACCCCATATTTTATGGATACTGCCTCACGTAGGCGTGATCAGTTATTAAGTCCATTTCTAGCCCCTCTCCCCTCTCTGTAGGATGAGGGATGGGACTGGAAATTCCAAGGTTCTGAGTGTGCTTTAGTCTTCCCAGGGGCCATTAGGGGTCCCACCCAGAGTCACCTCAGTGGAACAAAAGATGCTCCTAGTGCTCTTAACATGTAAGAATTTACAGGGGTTTTAGGAGCTCTTTGTCAGGGATAGGGTCAAAAGCAAACAGACCAAGAGATGCTGTTCGTGTTCTTATCACTTAGAAATTACAAGGGCTTCAAGAGCTCTGTGCCAGGAGCCGGGGGGCAGAGACCAGCATACATACTTTCTATTCTCTCAACAACGGGTTACGCTTTCCCGTGTAACAAGTTCTCACAGCCCTGGAGGGACTGTGATTGCAGTCAGGGCCTTGACTTGCCCCAAGTGAAACAGCAAGTAGAAGAGCTGGGCACAAATCTGGCCACCCAGACTCCTAGTCCAGGACTTAGTTGCCTCACCCAGTTCCCTCGTGAATGAACGTGTCACTCTCTTCTAGAAAGATTTGTGGCAACCATCTAACATCTGGTGGCCCAGTCCCAACTGCATCCGGACCAGGAGATAGCCAGTGCAGTCTCTCCACATGCTCTGAGCCCAGAGTGCACCAAAGACACGGTCTCAAGGGAGCATGCCCAGTATTCAGGACTAATATTTGATGCTAAATTGCAGTTGAGCTGCACTTTTCATTAGGCATTCGAGATGTCTGATTACCTAGGAATCGAGTGACCTAGTTACAACTTTGGTTATTCCTTTGGAATAGTAATATTATAACATCTTGTTGCATTTAAGTTAGATTTGTTCACAAGTGAGGATTAGCTATCATTCATTCATTCATTTATTCATTTATTTTGAGAGAGAGAGAGTTGGGGAGGAGGGACAGAGAGAGAGAATCCTAAGCAGGCTCCACACCCAGCGAGGAGCCCAGAGCAGGGCTTGATCTCACACCCCTGAGATCACAACCTGAGCCAAAATCAAGAGTCAGACACTTAACCGACCGAGCCACCCAGGCACCCCTTAATTACCCTTTATTTTTAATTGCATGTGATAATACTAATACCTTCAGCAAATATTATCAGGAAGATTAAAACAGATAACATATAAAAATTGTTTTCACAACTAAAAAATGTCAGCATTTACTAGTCAGGTCCATAAACCTTTATTAAATGCCTGCAGAGAGTTTAGAGAGCCTGACCACTGATAAGAATTGACTTACGGGAGCGCCTGGGTGGCTCAGTCATTAAGCGTCTGCCTTCGGCTCAGGTCATGATCCCAGGCTCCTGGGATTGAGTCCCACATCGGGCTCTCCGCTCAGGGGGGAGCCTGCTTCTCCCTCTCCCACTCCCCCTGCTTGTGTTCCCTCTCTCACTGTCTCTCTCTCTGTGTCAAACAAAGAAACAAACAAATAAAATCTAAAAAAAAAAAAGTTGACTTACAGGTCTTAAGCACAGAATAAAAGGAACTATCAATTTGCACCTATAGGCCCTGCCCCAAGGTAGGGCCAGGGAGAATCAGTGGTCTAGGGGTTTGTTACTGAGACAGAATATACAGCAGAGTTGCATTTGGGTATACCTATTGTCACTTCACCTTCACCTGGAAAATGAGGCTCCTCACCATCTTAAGGTAACTGGTTTTCCATCAAAAAGTGAAATTATTTTCTCTTTCAATCTGTGGCTCCTCAAGAAAGCTCGTGTCATTGTTCTTACCAGCCTTTCTCAGGGGGTCTGTGATGTTCATTTCTAGATAAACTTTCTGGAGACCGGATAAAGCAAGTCATGGAGCACATCTGGAAGCTTCAGGAGTTCTGTAACAGTATGGCGAAGCTGGATATAGACGGCTACGAGTATGCATACCTTAAAGCTATAGTTCTCTTTAGCCCCGGTAAGATATGTGGTGGGGACTCACAACAGTTTTCCATCTGTGTCTGCTAATATTTCTGAACATGAACTTGTCAAGTCATCAGCCAGATTGTTTGTGACCGAATATTCTCCTAATAGGTGTGCTTTGCTAGCTAACATAAACTCGTTCTTTTAAATTGTTGCCTTTACAGTCCCAAAGATATGCCGTGGTTCCTGGTAACTTCGTATGTTGAATAGATTTATTCTGTATCCTAATTTAGACCATTGGCCAAGTAAGACTTTGGCATACAAAATAGAGTATACTACCATCCAGTGTCCTTTTTTTTTTTTTAATTCATTAGAGACAGAGAGCATGAGCAGGGGGGAGAGGCAGAAGGAGAGGGAGAAGCAGGCTCCCCACCAAGCAGGGAGCCCGACGTGGGGGCTCAATCCCAGGACCCGGAGATCATAACCTGAGCCGAAAGCAGACGCCCAACCATCTGAGCCACCTAGGCGCCCCCTCAGTGTCCTTTTTTGTTTTGTTCTGATTTCTTTTGCTTTCCTTTTTTGCCAGTTTTCAGGTTTTGTTAGCATATGTTCTCCAGTACAGACTGAAAGTGCCCAAGTTCAGCTGTCCCTGTAGGGCAGCACCTGAAAAAGCCAACAGGACTGTGCGGCTGACCTCGCTGCCCGCCTCTCAGCTCTTCTCTCTGAACCTCCAGAGGTCACTCAGGCTGACTGTTGTCCTTAATAGTGGGGTTTGAGCACAGCTTAACCCTCCCTTCCTCCCCAGCCATCCACTCGTGAATGACAAAATAGCTAATATAAATGGGAGAAAGTATGTGATTAAATACATAGGAGGTAAGTGGTAATTTCTAATCTTGGGTGATAGGTCTAAAATCTCTGTTTTCTAGAGTGGTAGGAAGCCAGATGTCCAGATCCAAGCCAGGTGGGGCTGCTGAGGCTGGTGTGACCACTGAGGAGCCCAGCCCCCTCCTGGGAACCTTCAGGCCTTGGCAGGGTACAGAGCAAAAGCCAGTGTTTTAGCAGTAATATCCAAACCAGACCCACCTTCAGGGTTCAATCTATATCGTACTTGAGAAATTGGTCAGAGGTTTAACTAAAAATAAGTACTAAGAAGCCTGCCAAGTGAGGCTTTCCAAATACACAGGGCAATTTGGGGGCACTTTTCTCTTTTCAGATCATCCAGGTTTGACCAGCACAAGCCAGATTGAAAAATTCCAAGAAAAGGCACAGATGGAATTGCAGGACTATGTTCAGAAAACCTACTCAGAAGACACCTACCGGTGAGGCCCACAGTACGCGCTCTCGTGGTGGGGCAGGAAGGAGTGCGGCTGCATCTGCAGACAGAAATACAAATTGTCAGCCTTCCCGCCCCTGGCAGCCTGGTAGAAGCCTCCTTTTGATCACATTTTAATTCCTGCGTTTCAGGGGTGGTAACTGTGGAAAGTGCTAGGTGGTAGGGTCAGGAATCCTAGGCCATTCCAGGGTTGCTGGGTATAAACTGTGGGCAAGACCTTGGGTTGCTCTTCTGTAACATGCTGAGGGGCTGGAATCATTGCTGTGTGGTTTCCTCTGGGGCTAACGTGCACGAAGTGGCAGTTCTCGTGGGGGCTCCCCGCACCCAGAAGAGCAGCCCTGCCCCTCTGGCCCACATCCACTGAAGAGGTAGAACCAGCACACGTCATAGAAAAGTGTTCATCGGCAAAAGCCAAACCTGACCTCTACAAAGGCGTGAGTGTGTTACAGAAAATAGTTAATTTTGCCCTTAGATAAACTGGTTTTTTTAAGTTCCTTTATGTGAGCAAAAAGTTAATTTTAATGGTTGGGCAGCAAATATATGTGCACACACACACACACACACACACACACACACACACACACCCCTTTCTCACGCAAATCTGAACAGGAAAGTTGTTCTCAATTAAGGCAGAAGGCCTGCCAGGCTTTCCAGCCAAGGAGTGGAGGAGCTCTTTGATCATGACCACTTCCAGCCCACTAGAAGCTACATGAATTACTGAGGTCACGTCAGGCAAGCTAATATTTCCTTCCCTTCCCTGTCCCCTCAAAGTAAACACTTGATCAAAACTGACCAGGAAGATACATGGCCCCACCGTCCTCAGTTTGTGTCGTCTTCACAGACCTCAGTCCATAGGTGCCCCATGGAATGAAAATGCCCCAGGTCCCAGGAAGACTGTTTCTGTGATGTGACTGGGGGGTGGCGGTGGGGGGCTGGCCCTGCCGGCCCTGCTGGCAGAGACCCTCCTCTGCTTTAGACACAACTCCATGACCAGACACACCTTTTGCCAAAGCGGGATCCATTTTCTCCTGGAATCGCTGAAAACCTCACCATGACTCTTCAGTAGTAATTCCAGCCTCAGTGCACAGGGAACGGGGCCACGGGCCTGCTCCCACACGGTGCCCATGGTCAGAAGAGCCTGGAAATGGCCCTCCGGGGGCTGCACACTAGAGGCATCGTGACGACAGCACCTCTCTGGCCTTGGAAAGGAGGGGTTTCTGAAGAAATCCAGCCAGGGACCCAGCCAAGCGATTTGGGACCCTTTCTCATGGGACGCAGAAACTCACTCAGAGACAGTTCTCAAACCAAGGCCCCAGGATCGCTGACCTCTTTTTCTGCATTATTTTACTTTTTCTCATCTCTATGCCTTTTCTCGTACTGTTTGCTCCTCCTGAAATACCCTCCCATTCTTCCCCACTGTTTACATCTCTGGTGAGAGAAACCTCAGCCAGCCTCTAAAGCCCAGCTGATCCCTCTCATGCCACCCCACCTCCCCCAGGCAGTCCTCCCTGATTTACCTTTGCTGACTTCCCGAGACCCTCAGCCTGTCAGCCCCTCGTGGTCTATGCTGGTGTCCCCTTATACCTTTGTATGTCCTGTAAGACTCATGGTGGCTAGACGAATGGCGGATGGTGCTGGAATGCTACTTGCATAATACATATATTCTCTTTTAAAAAATAACAATGTTTACTATAGAAAAAAATGAGAACATTCTGGAAAGTGAAAACGTCCATATAAATACCACCTTTCGTAGATACCTGTTAATGTTTTATGCATTTCCTTCCAGAAATTTTTTATATTTGTGTAATTGGAATCATAAAATACAAAGTAAGGTTTTGTAACCCTTTTTTCATTTAATGTTCAACTGAGCATACTTCATCTTTTGTGGCTAAGGAGATGCTGTAATTTCTTTAACACTTCCCCACTGATGAGAATGTAGGTTGTTTCCAGACCGGGCTGGCCCCTCAGTGAGCATCTGTGCAGTGGCGGGGAACGCCAGTCACATGCTCCAGATACAGCGGCAGTGGCCCACCACGACAGGGTCACGGTGTACCCTGCCATCCAGGGTGTTTTCAAACCGAAGACAATCTTTTGCTTTATTTTTAATTATAATGCTGTACGAACACTGGGAATTAGGGGAGTGCAGGAATACAGAAGTTTAATAAGTAAAAGCACTCCAAATCCCCAAACCAGAGGCCAGCCATTCACATTTTGGTGAACATCCTTCTGAATACTTTTATACGCACGTCACACAAATAAATCTACGCCAGTGAGCCTGCACTGTACTTGCTGCTTCCCAGTCTGCTATTATTCAGCCATATGTCATGGACTGCTTTCCTTACCAGTGACAGATCTTTTTTGTACTTTTTAGTGAGTATATCGTGATCTTTTATATGGAGACACACCATACCTTTTTTTAACTTATCCTTTATTGATTTCCAAATTTTTCTTTTTTGGTGGGGGTGGGGACAATTGTTAAAAATGAAGGAAACATTTGTACAGACGTCTTTGTACTTAGTTTTGATTTCTTTTTTTTTCTTCATGATAAATCCCTACAAGAGGAACTGTTGAAATTTGAAATACAGGGGGTAGATCATAGGTCTATTTGGTTTAATTCCAAGCATTGCAGACAGGGTCCCAGGAGCCTGTCCAGGGAGAAGTCTGAAGGGCAGTGAATCCCCTTTCTCTAACTAAGGACCCTCCCTTTCACAGACTGGCCCGGATTCTTGTTCGCCTGCCGGCACTCAGGCTGATGAGCTCCAACATAACAGAAGAACTTTTTTTCACTGGTCTCATTGGCAATGTGTCGATAGACAGCATAATCCCCTACATCCTCAAGATGGAGACAGCAGAGTACAATGGCCAGATCACCGGAGCCAGCTTATAGTGCGTACCTCACACCTGCAGAGAAGCAAAAGGATCCTCCCAGGACCACTCGGATACAGAGAAAATAAAGTAGTGGTATTTTGGTATGTGCAAATATTTCCAGTATGTTAGCCATTTCCTACCTGGTTTCTTCTTATCTGTTAATCCCAGACAATAGCAACTAAAAGACTAGTAGGATCCTTTCCTGCCATAAGAAATGTTATAATGCCTTTTGATGAAGGAGACTTTGAAACAATCTTTTAACCCAATTTGTATTTAGAAATCCTCAAAGGGCAAAAAACAGAGTTTTATAATGTCAAAGACTAGTATTAAACAAAACAAAAAGAACCTAAGAGAACAGTATGTGTGTATATATATTAAAAATGTCCTTGGAATTAATAGCTACTAATTACCAGGGTAATAATATTAGCACTTTCTAAGCACTTCTTATCAATGCGTAATGTTAGCAACATCTTGCCCTCGGGCAGGACAAATGGAAAACTGTGTATGTCTTTTGCCGAAATGCTAGTAATTTCTGTGAAAACGCACTAGGGTACAGGAGACAATCATTTATGTTTAAGAAAAGATGGCATCATTCCTAATTGTATGCACACACTTGTGGTGTTGAACTAAATTCCTATGAACGAATGAAAATGTGGCTCATCCGTATGATGCAGTAAGTGGGAGTGTGGAGGCACAGTCGGGGGTGACCCAAACCGGAAGCTTCCTCAGCTGTGAGGTGATGATGCTTGTCAGCTTCCCTGACCTCTGGTTCTGGTCTGTGACTGGCATCTGCAGGCTCCTCCAAACCTGGGGCTCTCTTCTGATGACTGGTTCTCAGAATTGGATTACAACCAGTCAGACATTAACTGCCAATTCCTGCAGCAACTGAAAACATCCCCACATCACCTCCACCACTCACGGCAGACAGAGCCTTCTGACCAAAAAGTGCAAGGTGGGCATTTTGAACCCGACAGTAATTCCTGAATGCAGTCTGGGGCACTGGCTCGTTGTTCAGACGGAGGAGTACAAAGGTTCCCTTCTCATGGGGTTTCCATTCCAAACATCCCCTCAAGAAGGGCTGTATTCCTGCAGTTCACTCAGAACTGTGAAGGGGATTCGGGGCCTGGGGGTGGGGGGAGGTGCAGGATTTTGCTGCCTGGCCAGGGTGGTGGTGGTGGTGCGGCTGAATGGAAGGTTTCTCTGTTGACCTTAAATATCAGGGTTTTCCAAAGTGTCTCCAGACTCAGCATTTCTGTTGGCAATTTTTTGAATGGTACTGGTACACCATGCACTTTGATTCCCCCAGGTGTGTGCCAGCAAAGAACCCTGGAGCATTTTAGGTGATGGATGCAGAAGCAAGCTACCTGCTCTTAAAAAAAAAAAAAAAACAACAACAACAAAAAACAAAACAAAAAAAACCTTAACTCCCAAAGTTATCTTCTTTCTCTTAAGTTATAGCAACCATCGTTTACAAGAACAGAATGCAGTTATAAGGAAGTTCTATCTAGAGAAGAGCACCCATAAATTCTCATGGATGCAAGCAGCGGGCATTTCCTGCTTGGGAAAAGTGCCGTGTCCAAGACCCAGTCAGGTACTCTTCATTTCCTTTCTGTATAGCCCAGATTAAGAAAATAGCTAAAGTTAAATCTGTGTCTCCCATATCTTTTGATCAGATGATATCCAGAAAGATCCCAGTGCGCTTCCCCTGCCTCACAGGCACTCCCCAGCCTGGCTCAGGCCCTCGTCGAGGTGGGGTCTCGGGTGCTGTGTTAGGTACCCAGCCTGCCGGCCGCTGCCTTATGACAGAACAGAATGCTCTTGAAGCATTAGCAGCACTTTGTGAAAGTCGTTAGTGGGAATTAAGTGTGGGGACAGTATCTCCAACTTCTGAATTCCTATTTGGATTTAATTATATTATTTATAGTTCATGTCTTGGAAGCAAATTTTGGAGACAATAGGGGAGCCCGTTATAAAATGATGGAAAGAATTTAATTTTGCCTGCTTATTAAATTTTTGGTTTTCTAACTTGGAAGTGATTTAAATTTCAAAATTAAAGGAAAAAAAAAAAAAAACTAGCCAAGACAGTGAAGTTAGGGCAGGTCTGTTTCATTTCTGCTCATGAAGGATTTTAGCAGAGGGTATCTGCAACCGTGTTTATGCATCTTACACAGC